TGAGCTCCCTCTGCCTCTGCCTCGGGCTCGGCCGCGCCCTCGGGGCCGCCAACATCCTCCTCCTCCTCATGGACGACGTGAGTGGGCACGAGGAGGCGCCCGGGGGGCGTCCGGGGACGGGAGCCGGGGGAGTCACGGAGGAGGTTCCGGTGGGGGCTCCTGGGAGGGTCCCGAGGGTGTCCCAGAGTGGTCCTGAGAGGGTCCCGAGGGGTTCTGGGCGGGTCCCGGGTCTGTCCCCGTGTGGAGTCCCGCTGGGAGGGCTGGGAGGTCCCAAAAGGGTCCCGGAGGGTCCTGGGGAAGTCCTTGTGAAGTTCCAGGGTGGTCCCAGAGGTGTGCCAGGAGGGTCCTGGCTGGGGCCTAGGGAGATCCGGGGGGGTCCTGAGGAGAGTCCCAGGAGTGTTCCTGAGGGGTCCTGGTGGAGTCCTGCCTAGATCCCAAAGGGTCCTGGAGGGCTCCCAGGTGTGGTTCTGGGAGTGTCTCAGGGAGAATCCTGGGAGGTTCCTGGGGGAGGATCCCAGAGGGCTCCCAAGGGGGTTCTGGGAGAGTCCCAGGGTGCTCCTAGGAGGAGTCAAAGGGGAGTCCTGGAGGGGACCCCAGAGAGTGCAGGGGCTGTGTGAGGGAGGTCCCAACAGAGTTCTGGAAGTGTCATGGGAGTCTCAGTGGAGAGTCCCAGAGGGAAATCATGGAATGGTTTGGGTTGGAAGGACCTTGAAGCTCATCCAGTTTCACCCCTGCCATGGGCAGGGACATCTTCCACTAGCCCAAGTTGCTCCAAGCCCCATCCAACCTGGCCTGGAACACTGCCAGGGATGGGACAGACACTGCTGCTCTGGGAAAGCTGTGCCAGTGCCTCTAGTCAGGGTGAGAGCAGGACCCTTGTGGTGAGGGTGGTCCCAGGGCTGGGAGAAGGGCTGCTGTGGTAGCACACCCTCTCACAGCCCCTTGTCAGGACATGGTTTGGGACTGAAAAGTGGAAAAGTGTCTGGAAAGGCTGTGATGGTGATCCCTGAGCTCTTGGCAGCATCATGGAGTATGGGCTGGAACCAAAGCTGTGCTGAGGCACAGGACTTGAACAGAGAATCAGAGAATTGTAGAAGGATTTGAGATGAAGTTTTATCAAATTGTCTCCCCATGAGCCTTATCCTGCAAGTTCCTCCTGTTTCAGGGCATCCTCCTAAGTGCCATTGTTGGACCTGGCAAGACTTGTGTTTTCAGAGTGTCTTGAGCATTTATTTGCTTTCTGCACTCCCTAGAGTTCTGTTTCACTGACTCCCACAGAGCAGAGCTCTCCCTGACATACACAATCCCATTTCCAGGTCCACATATCCTCCATTCCAGGTGTTGTGGCCTCTGTGTGCTGTGTCCATGCCCTGTGGGACAGCACTTGAGTGGGGACTGTGCTGTGATTCATGGTCAGAGCTCTTCAACACATGATTCAGGCACAGCTCACAGTCAGTGAGGTGATCTGGAAAAATGTGGTTGTAATCAGC